GGATAGATTGTTTTTGCTTGCCTGCTTGCTTGCTTTTCTTAATTGCATTGTATAAGTACAATTTCAGATTAGATTTTTGAGTTATTGATAAATATTCTTGTCTATCAGTGCTGGATACATGTATTTTGCACTTTGGAAATGATCAACTTATTATTATTATTACTCTCAAGTCTGTGTGGAGGAGGCCAACATCACTCAGCATGAAAATAAGGTCCGGATTTTCACCTCCAATATGAAGTCAGTGCTACTTAATATATGGATCAGAGACTTGGCGCCGAGTCACGAAGGGCACTTCGAACAAACTACAGACTTTCATCAACAGCTGTCTTCGCTCAATACTTCACTCAAGATCAGATGGCCAGCCAGTAAAGATCAGCAATAGTGAGGGATCTCTTGGAGCGAACCAACCTAGCAGAAACCAATTGTGCAACAAATAAGCAGGAAGAAATGGAGGTGGATTGGTCATACTTTGAGGAAAACATCAAGTGACATCATACGCCAGGCCATTGCTCGAGGGAAACCCGAATAGTAATCGGCGAGTTGGTCGTCAGCGCGAAGGTGTGATGGAGGAGCTCATGTGAAATGGAGATGAAAGCATATGAGCAGATATGGAGCCAGGTGAAAACGTTGTCCGGGGACCGAACGCAATGGAGATGTTCGGCTGGAGCCTTATGTTCCTTTAGGAACTAAACGACATAATAATAACAGTTCCCTTGCGTTCCGAGTACATCATAAGGCTTCAGCAGCACATCTCGGTTCTGTTCTGTTCACTACATACCCATACACTCTCATCTCCTCATCACGCCATCCCATGTAATCCTTGAACGTCTCATTCTGGTCCCATTCAAGCTATGGTCTTGCGGGCTCTGTCACTCAGCGGTCTCCTCAGGATATGTGCAGTCCACCTCCATTTTATTCCGCATGTACTGTTAACCGATAGGTTCTTCTTGTGTTCAGTGCACTGCAGAGTTCCTTGTTGCCAATGCAATGAAGGCAGCTGTTGATAAAAGTCTTCAGCAGCCTGTTACAAATGTTTTTCATGACCCACTAAATCTCTGTTCTGTATAAAGGAGTCGACTCAACACTGGTTCTGAAAAATCTGAATTTCGATTTTTGTGATGAGTGCAGCAGATTTCCAAACTGACTTCAGAGTGATGAAGGTTTGTCTTGACTTTTTGGTCCTTGCTTGCTTTGACATCTTCATCCGTGCCATCGCTTGTACTTGAAATGATGCTGCGTCGTAGGTAAGTGGAAAAAGTGACCTCCTTCGAATTGATCTCGTTGTTACTGGTTGGTTGGTGTTTGTCGTAGTTATTAGTTAGGTACCTTCATCACCCCTGTATTCTCTGTGTTCAGTTTTTTCGTTTGTTCTTTTTTGTTTGGTGTGTCTCAGTAGCATATTTATCACTTCTGCCCTGTGACATGGCAGCACGAAGCGCGGTCGTTGTTAATCCGGGCGCCGACCGACCCGGCATGATATTTTGTGAGTTTGTTTGAATCATAGTTTTGTATTGGGTAGCTGCTCTTTGTCTAACCACTATCCAAACAACATTTGTAGGACCTACAGGAACATAAGTTCCAGCCACTGTAGCTCGTTGGGTCATTGCGATATGCAAGCCCGACCACCACGTCAAGGTAGCAGCTATCGATCGGGTTGGCCATTGAGAGCGGAAGACATGAAAAGATTAGCTGTCTTCGATCATAGGTGTCTGCGTTCTATCTCCCGCGTTAAATGGTATAATAAGGTGAGCAATATTGAGGTTAGGCGTCGAATGCTAGGTAAGGAGAAGAAATCAGTCGACGAGACTTTGAAATTGCATCGACAGAGATGGTTAGGACATGTGTTACGTATGCCTGGTCATCGCCTTCCTCGACCGACAGGCAATGTTAGCTGACATAGGGTCAGGCTGGAAAAGAGTTAGCCAGTGATGGTCAAACCAAAATATGGCATCACCAGCCAATGAAATCCACAACAGTTAGTTTGAGCCACATAGGAAGGTGTAGACTTCCTGACTGGTTGGGGTCCTCGGGACGGTAAAATCCAATGGTTGGAAACAATTGGTTGTATGGCTCAAAATCGTTGTCAATGGTTGGTGCAGATGCATCCACTCCTTGTGACTTATGATTTCCAATGAAACTGTTTTGTTCTCCGTTATTACTATTCCTTTGTCTCACACCTCTGTTTCTGCTACTTTCTTCTTTTGCTTTGTGTGCTAAATGTAGGGAATGTGGCGACTTGAACTTCCGCACATATGTGCAAAGTTCTATGTCGAAAACCGACCGACCGACTGTGTTCATTCGATCTCCTATCTTCACTACCGTTCCTTCCAGTTCGTTGGTTTTCTCCTGTCTATGTGCCACTAAACACATAAATCGTCTGAAAAGTTCAAATCTTTTAGATTATTCTTACCAGTCCAACTTATTTCTGTCTTCTTGTTCCGCACACTGATTTGTATGATTCAGTCCACTACATTTGGGAGTATCATCAATCTGTCTGTCTGTTTTCAACATAGAACTTTGCACATATGTGCGGCAGTTCAAGTCGCCACACTCCATGTAGCACACAAAGCCAGAGAAGAAAGTAAGAGAAATGCATATTAGAGACAGTAAACAGAGGTGTGAGACAAACGTATAGTAATAACGAAGAACAAAACAGTTTCATTGGAAATCATAAGTCACAAGGAGTGGATGCATCAGCACCAGCCATTGACAACGATTTTGAGCCATGTCACCAATTGTTTCCAACAATTGTTTTTACCGTCCCGAGGACCCCAACCAGGAAGTCTACACCTTCTTACGTGACTGGCTTAAACTAACTGTTGTGGATTTCATTGACTTGTGTTTTTTAGTGGAACATACGGCTTCAAGCTTTGAATGTTCACTAGCCTGCCGGTGCTTTGTGTTTTTTTAAACGTGGTAGGGTCGCTAGCCTGACTTTCAACTCTCCTTTTCTCCCCCCTGGCTTACTGGTTGTTTCTAAGCTAGTCAGTGTTTATGAGTGTGCTGACCGGACCTCCCACATGCTTGGTGACTATTCTACGATACTTCCAATGAATTCCTTGGCTAAATATTCTCTGCACTTGAGAGGTTGTAGAATCTAATGATACATACCATCGTCCAACACTTGCCGCCCTGTCTCTTGACCTGTGTAGCATTTGACTTGTTCGACCGAGAGGTACTATGACACTCTCTGATAAATAACTATGCCTATGAGTTATACATGAGAGGGAGGAAAACATAATTATTCTTATGGTAAACGACACATTTCAGCCTGGTGTTCTCTGCATTGTAAACAAAAGTAATTCAGGTCTATGAATCTGCTGTATCTGATGTCTAGATTTTATAAAACACAAAATAATCGATAAATTCCTCTTCCAGGCTCTACAATTATATATATGCATGTTTATATACACAGAATATTTTAAATTAGTAGTTAATAACAATATTAGCGTTTTTTTAAATAATATCGATTTGTAAAGTATTGATCCATGCTATTACAGTTCATTAAAGATGCTTAAATTATAATAATAATAATAATAAAGATATAATAGCGAATAGAATATCAACTAAAATTAAGGAAATTCCACAAAAATTCCGGATTATTCAAACCTCGATGGCAAAAGTAATGATAATGTCTGAACTAACTTCTTTTGGATGCATAAATTAGGCTTGTTAATATGGATCCCGACAGCCTCAGCAACATTTAGTAGTCGAACTCTTAAGGCAAAATTGAGATTCGTAGGTATGCGGTAAATGAGCCTGAAAACATGGTTAACGTCAATCTTGTGTTCTGTCTCCACAAGATGAGCCAAAATAGCGCTGCGAATAGATTTTGTTTGTCCTTTGCTTAACCAACCACACAGCGTGATGTCAGGAAATTCGATGAGAAACACGCCTAATTGTACAGCCTATGTAACTGGCTCCACAGGAGCAGTTAAATTGGTATATACACATGGAAAAGGCCAAATTAAGCAGTTTGTCTTTTATTCTCTAACGCAGGGGAGAAGTGGTTTTAGAGATACAGCGTAATTGAGCAGCGGGGAATGCTCTTTTTATCGCATTTCGAAGGCGCTGTGTTAGTATCTCACTGGTGTTGTCTCCTAGGAACTGCATCTGTAAGAACAAGGCCTTTTTTGGAACTGTTGGTAACTTGGGCTGTTTTGGTTTTAGATTCATATTCTTATCAATAAACTTTTCGGGATAACCATTCTCACTTAGCAACCGTTTAATATTGTTAAGTTCCTCGTCAAGACATTCGTCCGAGCAAATCTCTCTTGCTCTGTGGACCAAGCACTTTATTAGATTGCGTTTGTATTTCAAGGGCACAAAGCTGAAAAAATGCGTGTACTGGCCCATTGATGTAGTTTTGCTATAAACACTTCTTATTGTGCCGTCCTCTTTTCTGGTCATAAGGACGTCTAAAAATGAAATACTAAAGCATTTTCTTTCTCAATAGTATAATTTATTTTTAGGTAATTAACCGTTCATGTAGTACGGATGACCAGAGAATTTTAGTTTTTTTTTTCGAGTACTCTTACTAATGTAAATATAGTTGTACTCGCACAAACTCAAAAATTCATCCTTCTTCTTCTCTTCTCTATTCTTTTCCCGCTTTTATAATGTTTTCAAAATGTGATAAATATATATTATGCTCTCTGGTAGTGATTTGTCATTCAGTCGGTAAATAGCTGTCAAATTGCGTTATGCATTTTAGATAGTTGGAGGCAATCGGTCACAGGAAGCCTTGCACCTAGGTTTCGTGCTAGTTGGCACTCATCAGCAAGGCGTATCTGCAACCTTGAAGGAACTCATGTCCCCTCTGAGATTCGAACCCGCGTCACCCAGTGCTGCAGTCAGAGACGTTACCATTGAGGTATTCGAGCTGGCGATTGACCTCCTGTAGGACTGTAGTGGGTATTTTGCATTATGCATTTTGGTATCTACTCCTTTAAGTGTTCTCTCATGTGTGTGTGTGTGTTTTGCTTCTATGATTCCTACAGAATCCTTTGCTGAATCAATTTATACCGTCAATTATCCTCTGGTCAGTGTCTGCTTTATTACCGTATATTGTCTTCAATTCTGATCGAATTGTTGGTCATTGGACAAAATCATGTCTACATTTAACTGTTATGACAAAAACATTCACCTTACTGATTCTAATGATTTTGATACTCCCGTCGCTTGGTTTGACATCGTAAGTCTATAAAGTTGATCAGTTTGGTATATTTTAAAATTTGAATTTCTTAATAATAATAATTTACTTTATTCCAAAAACAGTACTTATAATACAGAATGGAATTCTCAGTATTTGTCACAATATTGCATCTGATTTACTTAAAATATAAATAAAATTAAAAATTAAAACAAAATTAATAGGAGGAATTTGTCCACACTTACGACATAAAGTCAAAAATATTCGAAGCAAGAAATGAGATTATTAAATATAATAATAATAGGAATAAGAATAATAATAATAACAGTGAGTTTGTTTCAAACGGTATTGTCGATTCAGTTTGGAAACTTTAGCATTTTATAGATTATTGGGTCTAATGTTCTGTTGATATAGTATAGTGAGGGGAAATACAAAAATTACAGTTATAATACAGATTAAATTATGTCCACACTTACGAAAAAAAATAAACAAAACAAAATACTGAGAGGACTATGAATATAAGAAATACAATAACAATAAAGTTTGATGCTTTAAGGGTGGAGGAAATGGTCTGTTTAGTGGTGCTAAGAAGGTTAGTTAGTTCATTTCTGACACTATTTTCATCACATAGAGTACGTGCAGCGAAATATGGTATAGTGGAATTTTTATACTTCGACGTACGTGCACAAATTCTTCTGAAAAGATTTCTTGTTCTACCTGAGGAGACACAAGGTTGGAGCTGCGAGTAGAGTGGGTGCTCAGAGTCTGACAAAATTCCTTTAGCGAATTTGTTGCATGACATCAAGTGTCTATCGGTGACAATGCCAACGATATGGCCCAATGGAATACCACTCGTCCTACTGACAGTCTTCAGAGTTCTACGAAGTATGACATAGTCCTTTATTATCAATCGAGGAAAGAATAAGGGTGAAGGGTAAAGAAGAATAGGTAAAATACACGAGTTGATAAACTGTAAGAGGAGTGGTTGAGTTATGCCTGAGTGCCTTAATTTCTTAATGTAAAATGTCGAACGAAATATTCTTTTAGAAATCGCTAAGACATGAGAGGACCAGGATAAGTCAGAAGAGAGAATAAATTGTAGCATTGTTACGCAGTGTTTTTAAGTTGTTACTTCTCATACTGTGTGTGTAATAACATGTAGAAAAAGCAAAATTGCATTGTTTGCTACACTTATGTGCCCTTAATTTTGTCTGCAATTAATTTTGTAAATACTAACCATTAACTTTATTAAAGTTTAAATTGTTCCTTTTTGCCTATTTCTGACGTCGTCTGTGCTAGACTTTTGCGTTCAGCGAAGTGCTTCTAAAAGATGGTCTGTCACTGGCTGTTAACTATTTATATTTATCAGTGAATTTAGTGTCGGTCGTGATTATTTAGAATATATATATATATATATATATAGCTGTACTCTCAAGTATAGTTGATTAAGACAGTAAAAGCTGTCTGTCAACCGTCCGTCTACTTGTGTGTTTTCACATACCAGTGGTACTGCTGTTGTGCCAGTTGATGTTAATATTTGTGATTATTGATATAAGTATAAAACTTGGGCACTGTGGTAGAGCATAACTCCATTATAGATAAAATTTTATTTTGATAAATCACACAGAGTTGTACAGTAATATTAACTAATGACGTTTCGGGCATAAACTATTGCTCATAATCATATCAAGTTACTCACACAACTTCTTTCCTTCATTTATATACATATGTGGAATCTATTAGATATTAGGGTGGCATTCAAACCTACAAACTCACTCAGGGACAAGCTCTGTAGGTTAAAGCACCCTGTTGACCCAATTAAACAAAATAATATAATTTACAAAATACCCTGCAATGACTGTGAAGTCAATTACATAGGTCAAACTAGTAGATCGGGGGTAGTCAGATTATCAGAACATAAGAATTTAGCTAAGGTAAGAATGGTTGACCCAGAGAAGATAAGTAATTTAGAAAAAAAGTTCAGCAATTGCACTTCACGCATTAACACACAACCACACAATAGGGTGGGATAGGGTTAAAATTCTAAAGCGTAACATAGGTAGGTGGAGAGAGAGATTGGTTACTGAATCCTTGTTCATTGAGTCTACACCTAACACATGCAACAGAAATGACTCAATACAAATACCAGAAATATGGAAGATATTATTACCGCCGGTCAAATCAGAAGAGAATAATAAATAATCTTAATATTCTATTTCAACTCAAGCACATCACAACATTCCAACAAGTAACTTATTTTGACTATAAAAACACTCGTCTTGTTTCCCATGTGACTGTAATTGATCAATAACACTCGTATTATTATCTCTGAATGTATATTATCTCATACTGATTTTTATTTAAATATCTAGTCAATTCCACACATGTATATAAATGAAGGAAAAAGATGTGTGAGCAACTTGATATGATTATGAGCAATAGTTTATGCTCGAAACGTCATCAGTTAATATTACTGTACAACATTGTGTGATTTATCAAAATAAAATCTTATTCATAACGGGATTTGTGATTATAGTTCGTTTTCTTCGTGGTCCATTAGATCACATCACTGTTGGTCATGTCCAAAGCGTTCTGATGTCTTCCGGTAAAAAATAATGATTATTTATATCGAATTAATTAAGCAGGAGACAGTGAGTTGGTTGTCAAGCTAAAAAGGAATCGAACAAAAAGGTGAGAAATAAAGAATAAGCAAGTGGCTGTAATGCTTAGTACTGATATTGTTTGAAAGCAGTAAATCAAATTTAGCAAATCAAAAGTTTAGGATTAATCGTAACAAACGTAACGTCTTCCCCGAAATTTGAGGTGGCTACGACAAGTGTTATGCATTTCAAGCTGTCGAATTCCTTGTCAAGCAAAGTTGGCTGACATCAGATTCAACTGGAAGGGAATTAGTGGTGATCAAATCAGAACTTGGCATCATCCCCCCTTGATGTTTTCAGCTGTAGGTTTGAGCCATATAGGTAAGTGTACGCTGCCTTGCTGTAGTTGTCAAGGCACTAAAAAGCAATGGCTCAAGACCGTTGGTGATATGTCACAGAGTCGTTCTCATTGGCGCAGATACCTTCACTCTTTTCGCACTCGTATGTCCATCAAATTATTAAAAAGACGGTTGCAGCAAAGAAAATTTTCTTTTCGATGAAGTCATCAACTAGGCTGTACATTCGTGTATTTATATTACGCGTGTGAGAATGCTCCAGAATTATTTCCGGTCAGAGGTCAGATTAATAAAATTACTAAGTGTAATAAACAGAAGATGCGTTGGTGGCATAACGGTTAGGACGCTCGCCGACCATGCACATGGTCCGAGGTTTGATCCCCGGCCGATGCACTCCTTTACCTCGTTAAGCCAGAAATAATGCTGGTGAAGAGGAAAGGTTGGGCATGAGGCTAGCAACCCCATCCTGTAAAAAAATGAACACTGCTACAGAAACTTCAAGCCACTGGCTTGAAGCCCTATGTTCCACTGGGGAACGTGAAGGATAAAAAAATAAAAATAAACAGAAGATAGGTAGTGGTACTATTCTAGGAATATTTCAGGTCAAAGGTCAAATTAAAAATTGCAATGTGTAATAATCAGGAAGATCGGGTAGCAAATAGGATTATAACTACTAGAAAACTAGTCAATTCGTATAATTACGGGTTAAGGATGCAGTATTAACGAAATGGGTAGAAGGTTCGGGCATATAAAAATAAAAACAGTAACCAAATCTAATAATGCAGATAGGGATTTAAAAAGGTAAATATAACAAATGCACAGGAAGGTTTGACAAGAAAGGTGGTAATAGGATAATCATTATTAGTGAGACTGACTTTTCATGATGGCCACGGTAGGGACAATGGTTGCCCCACCCCCTCCTTTTTCCTGTTTGACATCCGTAAGAGATAGTTTTTCTGCGACCTTCTGAGTTCTAAACACCGTATTCCATCATCACCTTTGCATTTCACCTCTTTTGTACGCTAAGTAAAATTTCCTTTCCTTTTGGGAGTTGTTTTAAAGAAGTTTGAAATTTGGCTTCGAAGAACTAAAGAGACTTTGGGATGTTCTTTTAAGGGTCAACCAACAACGACGGGTATTTTTGTCACTTGGACTGCTCTGTGTACTGAGTGAAGTGTGGCGACTCGAACTGCGCTGCACATCGGTGCAAAGTTCTTCGTGGAAACCAGTCATCTGCCCAGGCTGTAGCAGATGGACCCGGATTTGAATCTGAAACGTATTGGTTGCAGGTGGGATGTTTAAGCCAATGAGTCACACCGGTGTATATCAGAATTGATTGTTGTATGGTACATAAAACTACATCTCATTTTCACTCAAATGGGTTCTGAGTTCGAGTCTCTTTCCACCTATTTCAGTAAGGTGTAAACGCAGTCATACTTCTATTGCCTTCCTCGACTAATTAATGTTAGCTTCTATAGGACTAGGTTGGGAAAGAGCCAAGAGTGGGCGAATCAAAACCAAGCATGAATACATGAAATCTCTGGCAGTTAGTCTGAACCACATAGGGTGGTGTAGATTGCCCAGTTGGGGTCCTCGGCCTCGGGACGCTGTCAACCATTGGCGTGGGACTATTGATGATATGGTTCGAAACGGTATTCACTGTTTCTAATATCACAAATGGCTTACATTCTCATTATTCATTATAAAACTGAAAAGTATATTTAAAGAATATCGAGGATTTCACGAATTTCGGACACTACAAGGAGTGAATGAGTGTGTGTACCACTGAGTAGGATTATGCGCCAAATCAACAATCTTCTGAAGCCAATGATTCCACTCGTCTCGGAACAGCCGTCAGGCTGTCTATACCTTTCTACAGAACTGTTTTCAGACTAATTGTCAACGACTTCATAGATTATTGCCACCTTTTGGTTTCATCACATGTAACTAACTCTCCCAACATGATCCTATGTCAACTAACATTCATGATTTCTATTTCCTAAATCAAATCAATAATGCTTTCTTAAGAGGATTAAAATTTGCAGTAAAAAAAGGGATTTTATTTTCAGGTATAGTATCCTGTCTG